ACTCAAGAAAACTCTGGGGAGCTGTGGGGTTGGTGGGTAAACACCCCACACTGTGGTCATGGTGTCTCTCCACAGAAATAGAAACCCTAAGACAGAAGTTGGACCAGGGTGTTGTTGTGATAGGCCTGACCATGTTTTTGTTGTTGTTGTTGTTGTTGTTGTTGTTGTTTGTTTGTTTGTTTGTTTTTTAGAGGAATTGGACTTTAGTTCTTTGGGTTAGAAAAGCAATGCAATGCTTTAAGCACTGCTTAATGGGCCATACTGGTAGGAGCATGGAAGACAATGGTGCTGAGGGTGATTTGAATTTTGGGGCTTGGATCAAGAGATTTCAGAGGAAAAGAATTTTAGTATGTTACCTAGAGATCATTCTTGTGATATTTTGGTGAAGAGTGTGGCTGCTTTTTGCCCTTATCTGAAAAGTCAGCCTGTATAGCAGATAATCCATAGGTACTTATAAAAGAACTATTTATTTAGAATTATATTGGAGAGAACAGCTCACTAAACCAGGTAGGCAAAATCGCTGCAGAGTCCTGGAAGGTTGATGCCCTGTCCCACGCTGCTCCTGCCACCTGAATCAATCAGCACCATCTAAGCCCATGAGGGAGAGGGGGGCCAGGCATACATGCCCCTCAGCTTAAACTAGCCCCTGAGGCCACGCCCTAGGGGCTGATACTTCAAGGTCATAGGTGGAACAGGTACCCACTACATCTCCCCTTTTTTTCTAAATATGAAAGTTCTAACTTAATACAAAACTATATACAATTGCAATGATTATCAAATATTGTCCAGGAGATGGAAAGGTAATAACATAGACAAAATAGAAATACAACCAGCAAGAACAACATCAAACAAGAAACACACATCAAATGTCCAGAAATGGCCACACTATAGGTAAATGGCAAGTTACAGAGATTATTCCAATAGCTGTGCTATTACTGAAGAATAACTTTAACTTTAGTACCTAAAATGTTCTTAGCTAAGATACAAGAGGATTATAATTGTACCTATCTAGTCTTCAACCCCATCAAAGACCTGAGAAGGAAAATAATATTACCTGAGAAAACAGAAGTGCAAGGAAGCAATTTCTAAAAATTGCGAGAATAGATAGAGACAGCTGGCAGCCTGGACAATCACCTAAAGGTTCTCAGCACCGTTGGGGCATCCATTTTGGCTACAGGCCTAGAATATCTAACAGAACATTTTCAGAAGCAGGAATTTTGAAAGACCATCTTACCCTGTCTTGGCAAGGTTCAGCAGTCAGTTTTCCTTGTGTCCTGCTCATCTTGAAAGAACAGGGAGCTTACTGTCAACAGCTGAGGCAAGGGCAGTTCTTTGCCCAGAAGGCCATTTTTCTTTTCTTTTTTTTTTTTTTTGCCAAGAGGAAGATAAACTTCCATACAAAGTATCTTTGAAGCCCAGCATTCTCTTGGGAGTAGATCAGTGCTGCCAGGAGCAATCCTGTCTCAAGTCAACAGAATTATAAGTTATCAAAACATTTAAATGCCATATTCTCTTGGCCTATGAAGTGTTTGAAGATTACCTATCCATCTGACATATATTTCTGTAAATCTGAAAAACCTAACTAACATAACTATAGGTATGACAAGCATGGGTGACTATTAATCTGTAAGTCTTATCTACTTAAATAACCTAAGGACTAAGGTTTCACATTATCAAGGTAAATAATCTGTAAACAGATGTACAATATAAGGACAATGACCTAAATATTGTGACAATATATAAGATATCTTAATCAGAGGTAAAAATGTATAGTGCAATGTGACAACAATATCCTTAATATGTATCAATATGCAAAATATCCTAAACAGAGGTAGAACATACACACAGTATGACAAATATAATTTTACATTTGTATCAATATACAAAATATTTCAAATAGGAGTAGGAACATACATACAATATGACAGTTATAGTTTTGAATTTGTATCAATATACAAGTTATCTTAAATAGGGATAGAAAAATAGTTTACATTTGTATCAACATACAGGAATCCATACCAGTGTAAATTATCTAAGTTTGTAGTTTGCTAAATTAGGTTACAAGTAGATACAATAATCTACCTCAATATCCTATCTATTCCCCTTTTTTCTTTTCCAAAAGAGAATCCTGAATCTAAACTTTATTGTTCCATCCCCAACCTTATCCATGAGGGACAGAGGGGGCCAAGTGTATGTGCCTCTCAGCTTAAGCTAGCCCCCCAAGGCCATGCCCTAGGGGCTGGTACTTCAAGGTCATAGATGGAACAGGTACCCACTACATGCCTGAGGCTAAAGTGAAGAGATTTGGATTAATTCCATTGACAGAGGAAATCTCAAAACAGCCTAGTATAGACTCTGTCATGTGGTTATTAATGTTTACTCTAATGAAGATTTAAAATGAAAATGAGCAAGTTGAGAAAGTAAAAATACAAAATGTACAATTTGAGGAGAAAAGGAGCACCAGGAAGTGGAATGGAGCTAAGTCTTGGTTCAAGGAGACAAACAGATTAAGAAATGGAATGATGACCTCATGGCAAGATCCCACCCAGCTAAGTTTCTAACTTGTGAAAAGGACTTAAAGAAAAGTTTAGAGCCAGGTGTGGTGGTGCATGCCTGTAGCGACACTGGGAAGACAGAGGCCAGTGGATCTCTGAGGTTGAGGCCAGCCTGGTCTACAGATCAACTTGCAGGACAGCCAAGCTTAGGCAGTGAAAGAAACCATGGAAAACAGAAAGCTGGTGAAGATATAACTGAATGAGGGGGCCATGCTCCAGCCCCAGCAAACAACAGAACTTGGCAGCTTCAGTCACATGGTTCTGGCTCTAGAATCAAAGATAGACAACAGGGGTTATGGAATCTCCCTCTATGACTAAGGAAAGCTGCTGAGGTCAGGCATGTGGCAGGAGTGTCCTGGCATGGAGGCCCAGAAAGGTCATTGTGTGAAGCTGTTAAGGTGAAGCCTGGATTGCCTTGGATATCCCAAAATGTCAGAGTCATGGGATACCTGCTGAGAAAAGTTGCTAACAAGAAGTTAGCCCAAGAGAAAGAAGTGTGTTGCAGTCAACAAGGCTGAAAGGAAATGGAGATCTGAAGAGTGTTGGACATCAGACACGGAGATGCAGAGTTTGGAGTTTGTCCAGCTCATTTTCAGTCTTGCTTTGGTCCAGTATTTCCTCACTATCCTGCAATATTTTCTTGACTTTTTTTTCCTTCTTTTGCTCCTTTCCGCTGGCTTCAAACATCTTGGCCAACTTCCAGAACAATCCAGCACTAGCTAGGAACCACTGATTGAGGGCCAAGGTCACTGTTTTGAGGAAGTCACGTGGGTCTTTTCAGCCCATGCCACAATATCCTCTGCCCAAACCTTCAAGGCAAGCATCTTGGGCTGCAGCAGTGATCTCTATTTTTTGCCTGGGATTATCAGGGAACCAATCATAGTCCAGAGGACCATTGGTGGATACCTTTTTCTGCCACACACTTTGGAGAGGCTTAACTTCTGGTTTGTGGCAAAGTTATGGTTCACGCATCTCGCAGGCACCTCAGTTTTGGATCCACACCGTCTCGTCTCACTTTCATGACTCTTCTGACATCCCCAAAGCCAAGGGGCTAGTCTCCAGACCTGTGCGGCACCCTGTCCAGCAACTGGTGGCTCTTTGCAGCCAGCCTCTCTCTGACTTTTCCTCCCTGCTCACTCTTCTTTCTGCCCCTGGGCCATGTCCATTGTCTACCACCGCCAGCAGGCACAGGGCCCTGTCCTGTCTAGTGGAGCCAGGCAGGGTCTGAGGGCAGGAGCTAGGAAAGCTGGGGTGGCCTGTCACATGTCACAGCTTCCAAAGGACACCAGTACATTGAGTCTTCTTCCAACCTACCATGATATTATGATGGAGATATTGTCCTGGCTAGTTTTTATGACAACTTGATACAAGCTAGAGTCACCAGAGAGGAGGGAGCTTAATTAAGAAAACGCCTCCAGGGCTGGAGAGATGGCTCAGAGGTTAAGAGCACTGACTGCTCTTCCAGACGTCCTGAGTTCAATTCCCAGCAACCACACGGTGGCTGACAGCCATCTACAATGAGATTTGGTGCCCTCTTCTGGCCTGCAGGCCAAACACTCACTGTATACATAATAAATAAATAAATCTTTAAAAAAAAAAAAAAGAAAGAAAGAAAGGAAAAAGAAAAGAAAACGCCTCCAAAAGATCTGGCTGTAAGCAAGTCTGAAGGGCATTTTCTTAATTAGTGATTGATGGGGGAGGGCCCAGGCCATTGTTGAGTGGTGTCCTCCCTGGGCTGGTGGTCCTGGGTTCCATAAGAAAGCAGGTTGACAGAGAATCTCAACGTTAACTGCTTCCCTTCATTCTAGTTCTCTGGAACAGTGCACGATGGCCCGAGTACTGAGTGGATCGGGAAGAAACGGGCCAGTTTGGCCCCAAACTCCCTCTGAACCTCACTGAGCAGCCTGTCCTCACCTCACGTGGTCCTGATGAGTGAGTGAGCCTCGGGTCCGGCCTGCCGAGCTCAAACCCCAATCGCAACAGCTCCGCACTTCGGGGAGAGGGGGAGAGGGCAGGACCGGCATGTACGCAAGCTGCAGCTCCCGGGTCAGCTAAACTTACTCAGACAAGGCCTCCTGGGGCCTCGGAGGCAGTGGGTGGGGCCCTCCGCCCGAGCTCCGGTGGGCTGGGCTGGGAATTGTAAAGAAACACAGCCGAGGTTTGGGTTGTGGCTGCTCCCTTTGTTTACTTTGGGCAATGCTGTCATTTCGGAACTGACCCTTCCCAGATGAGATCCTCCTCGGTTTTCAGCTGAGTAAAGTCAGGGGCCTTGCCACCAATGGGGCATTTTTTTTTGAACGCTCTGTGGTCAGTTGCCCTGGGCAGCGGGCACCGCCTTCCCCTCCCGCTTCAGTGAAGCCCAGCCAGGGCTGCTCACCTGCTGAGCGCGGCTGCAGAGACCAGGGAGCTTCCCACAGCAGGGAAGAAGTGAGCCCTGCCCACTCCCAGCCGCGCCCCACTGCGCGGCGGCGCCCAGCCAGGCTGCGGCTGCGAGGGTTGTAGCTACAGTTGAGAACTGCCAGCATCTACTTCTTGGTTGTTGCTTTATAATAATAATAATAATAATAATAATAATAATAATAATAATAATAATAATAATAATAACGCTTTCCTTCGTGGTTATAGATTCACCTAGCTGATCCTAACCCAAAGGTGTGTAATGCATGCTTTTCTTTCATGATTTAAGTTGAACACTATCTTTGCAGCTATGTAGAAATGAGAAAAAAAAAAAGTTCATTTATTCATTTTTTTAAAAATTCTCTAGTTTCTTTTGGCTCTCAAATACCAAAGAATAGAGTCTTTTATGTCTAAGATTAGAAACATCTGGTCTGCGTGTCTGAGGAAGGCTAGACTGACGTAGGGCACAGCCAGGTGGAATGGCTGGCCCTTCTGAATTGCGGAATCTTGAGTCTTAAAAGTCACTAAATACAACCTCTTGCTTTTAAGAACACGGAAACAGGCCGGTGAGGTGAGGACTTTGCTGTCACAGAGTTGGTGTCAAGGTGAACCGGCACCCAGGTTTCCTCTGTCCTGGTCTACACTGTATGAACTCCACGCCTAGGGAGGACTCGTGTATGAAATGGTAAAGTGGAGACGTGTGACCCCCGCAGCTGAGGGACCCACTTACTTCCAGTTTCGCGGTTTCACCCGATGGCTGGTCTTCCAAGGAGAAGCTGATGCGCACACAGTGCCCACCTACAACAGGGTTGTGAGGGAGACATTGTTGTTCTTACTTCGCAGATGATGCAGTTGAGAGGTTCGTTACAGTCGTCCCAAGTTTGCCCAGCGGGGAAGTGGTAGCATCAGGACTGGAACCCACATTTCTTCCACTCTAGAGCTCCTGTGCACATCACACTTAACAGTTTATACTTTTCAACTTTCAAAATGGTGGCCTCATTTCCTGATGTTTACGTTTGTAGTTGCAGCCATTTAATAAATACTTCTTAGCAAGCTCATTGCCGAGCACAGTTGAGATACTGCCGTGACCAACAAACACAAACCCCTTTTCTGGGGGAGCAGACAGTAGCCCCTAGAACAAGTCCCACGAAGTGAGAGATGCCACCGAAGGATGAAACAGAAGAAGGAGCAGGGAATCCTGGGATCTGGGGCCAGGGAAAGACAGCGATTTCACAAAAGGAACCTTTCTATGGGGCTTGAGAATGAAGCTCTGAAGGTGCCTGAGAGAACAGGCCGACGGACATCTGAGAGGAGAGGCTGACGTGAGGAAAGGGTGCATTTAAAGTCAAGGAAGAAGCAGAGCCGAGTGTACAGGACAGTGGACACAGGAGGCGGAAGTGATGGAGGCCAGGCCTGTTCTGAGGGAGTAACATCAGCTCTTCTCCCAAATGAGACGGGAGTCAGGGAGCAGAAGACAGGTACACTCACACTTCCTAGAGGGTCACTAAGTGTGCTGAGAGTGGGAACAAGAGAATGCAGGAGCACTAGTTGGGAGCCTGAAAGGCTTCCGTACCCTGATATTGGGTTTCTCCGCCCATGCAATAAATCAGATCAGGCTGAATTAAAAGTCCAGGTTTAATCTGAGCAAAGCATGTCCGGCTGGTCTCAGGGGAAGGTCCCTGGGCTGGACCTCAAAGACTCGCTAGCCAAGGTCTCCAGCATCTCAGGGGGAGGAGCCACCATTGGGTGGGCTGTTTCAGGGGTGTGGTCTGGAGAGAGAGAGGCGGGGCTTCCACCTAAACCGAGCCCACTGTCCTTAATCCGGTGAGGGTGATGCTGAATACGGGCCCTGAGCAGTGGACACAGATGCAGTTCAAGTTCTGTTTTCGTCTTCTGAGAACCCAGTGTTACTACCTACGATTTTTACCTGCCATGGTGTCGTGTAACTTGCTCCTGTTTGGAGACTTGGGTGTTCCAGGCTTGCATGGTTATAGAGAACACCATCATCAATATCCTTGCTCCCCTCTCTGCGTATCTTATTTCTTCGGGATAAATACCCAGAAGTTGGATTACATAGTCAAAGGGTGTCATTTCTGTGATGCTAACTACGTTTTGTTATATTACATAGCGGAGTTAGGGATCCTTAGTTCGTGTGTGTGTGTGTGTGTGTGTGTGTGTGTGTGTGTGTGTGTGTGTGTGTGTGATTGTGGATGGGGGCATTGGCTCACACCACAGGACTCATGATGAGGTCAGAGGACAACTCTGTGGAATTGGTCCTCCCCGTTTACCTTTTTGGGGTTCTGGTGATTGAACTTGGCTCACCAGACTTCCTGGTAAGTGATTTTACCTATTGTGCCATCTTGATTACCCAAGACCCCTAATTTTTGTTTTGTTTTGTTTGTTTTTCGAGACAGGGTTTCTCTGTGTAGTTTTGGTTCCTGTTCTGGATCTCGAAACCAGGCTGGCCTCGAACTCACAAAGAGATCCGCCTGGCTCTGCCTCCTGAGCGCTGGGATTAAAGGCGTGCGCCACCACCGCCCAGCTCTGGACCCCTAATTTTTAAAGGTCCAGAATCCTCTTTTAGCACCTTTAATTTCTTTCTTTCTCTCCCTCTCTTTTCTTTCTCTCTTGTCTCTCTCTGGGTCCCTCTCTCTTTCTCTGGCTTCTTTTTTTTTTTTTTCTCCTCTCTCTTGCTTGGGGAACAGAGAAAGGGGGCAGGTTTGTGACAGAGCAGGCCAGAGGTTAGAGCGGCCACCGAGGGAGGCAGGAAAAGGCAGACATTTCTTTATTATTTGTTCCTTGCTGTTCAGCCGCAGAGAGCAAGCGCCAGCTGCTTCCCTGAGTCGAGGAGAATCTTCTGTAACAATCAACAAACGAAGAAGAGCACTGCTTACTCAGACTTTCTTGCCTTCTGGGGAGATCAATGGACTCTACCATTTCAATTATCTTTCACAATATCCCCTGGTGCTAGCTCAAACGGCCCTCACTGAGCAAACATTCCTCCCCAGAGCGGGAGGTTTACTAAACTTTTTGCCTCTTTTCTTCTCATCCTCCATCAGTTTGAGCTCCTTTCAAAGGACCTGTCTTCCCTCCGACTCCAAAGCACCCCTGCTCAGCCTTCCTTTTCTAATTTTACACTAGGTATGAGGGGCATGCTTCCATTAGGAGCAGCAGGGGTCTTCTGATGAATTCTAAGGCCGGCCTGTGACTGGTGCTAATGCTAAAATTCATGGGGAAATGCTGGAGACTCCGAAGGGGGAGGGACCAAGGCGCTTGACTCAGGCTTGCCAACGTGAAAACTTACTGCACCGCTCCACAGTCCCAGCCGAGCGGTGTGGACACCCATAGATCAGAGGACAGAAACACAAGCCCTAACAGTTATGCTCAATTGAATGTTGACAAAGGCGCCGGGAGAATTCCACAGGGTGGGGGATGGTCTTTGAAACAAATGAAAAGTCACTGGAACAACTGGATATCCACATACAAAAGAATCGATCTGGACGGCCGCTTAACATCACACACAACAATAAGCTTCCAGTGGACCGTAGGCCTAGATATCTGAGCTAGAACTGGGAATACTAAGTGACCTTCAGTCAGGTGGTTATCTTGGCTCTAACACTAAAACACAAACTGATAGAAAAGATAAACTAACAGGTTTATAGCTTGAACTTCATCAAAATTTAACACATTTGTGCTTTAAAGGGCACAATCAAGAAAATGGAGGAACCCGGTGTGGTGGAGTATACCTTTTAACTCCAGCACTCAGGAAGCAGAGGCAGGTAGATCCATGTGAATAGAAGGCCAGAGGCTAACCTGGTCTACTTAGTGAATTCCATGCCAGATATGGGGTTTGCACTTAGAATATTCATAATTCAATCATGAGGAGACACGTAATCGAATTTTTAGAAGGACAGTGGGTGACGGATGCAGCTCAGTGGTAGAATGAATAAGCAGAGTGCTCCAGGCCATGGGTTTAATCCCTAGCCACAGAAGAAATACATAAATAAATAGATAGATAAATAAATAAAAGAAAATAAAAATGGGCAAAATATTATAATTTTATTCCAAAATAATTACAGAAGCGGCTAATGGCGCCCGAGAAGTCTTTTGGTGACATAAAGCGTGAGCGTGTCCAGATAGTTCTGCTCCCCACTGTGACTACCACCTCCCAGAGAAACTGGTGAGGAGAGGGAGGAGGCAGAAACCTTATGTGCTGCTGGTGGGAAAATAAAAGGGGAGCACCCACTTTGGAGAAGCTTGACGCGTCCCTCTGAACCCGGAAAATGGAGTTACCATGACCTAGCAATTCCAGTCCTAGGTGTGTGCCCAAGAGCAATGAAAACGTGTCTTTGCAAGAGTCGGCAGAGTGGAAACCTAGCTGTCCATAAACTGATGTGTGTCACACATGGCTAAAGTGTGACATGTCCGTCCAGAATAGTGTTATATCCAGCAACAAAAAGGAATTGCGTTCAGACAGATGCTATCACATGGGTGAGTCACACGGCAGGGAAAAGAAACCAGAAACTAAAGATGACATATACAGTGTGACACCACTTACGTACAACGTCAGAACCAGCAAACGGTGTGGAAACTGTAGCCATCCTCTAAGATTAGAGGGAGCACAGGGCTGGGACGGGGCACAGGGGTAACAAGTCACCATGAACAGATGGCGGTTTCTCTGCAGAATGAAGGAAATGTCTAAAGTTAATTAGGGTCCTGGAGGGACCGCTCTGTAACCTACTGAAAAACGGAACTGCAGCCTTCAAACACGCCAGCTTTGTAGTCTATAAATCACATCTCAATAAAGATGTGTTTAGAGAGCGGCTTCTTTTGGACTCTGGAAAAGAGACAGCAGATTGTTCGGGTTGACTGCCCTCAAGAAATTTGCTCGTGTGATGCATGAAGGAGCATGCTATGGGACTGGCCTAGGGGGCTGCTGCTGGTGGTGAAGGCCGAGGGGGAGAAGGGCCAGGGGAAGAGGAAGAAGACGGGATGGAGAGTAGAAGAACTAAGGGCTAGGAATGAGGACCCGTCAGAGCTGCTTCCAGAAATGAAGTCACAAATCATCTCAGGGCTGCTAAACCAGGTGAGAGTCGGGAGGAGACAGGGAGCAGACTCTTCAGATGCCTTCAGAGGGAGCCATGGAAGAGGGAAGGATTTAGCTGATCTGCTGAGTGAGTATGCAGAAAGCCATTGCTGGGCTCACAGCAAGTATTCAGCAAGAGGATGCAGGCACTGCAGTCAGTTGGCAAAAGAGATTCTGATTGATATTAGCAAATCTTATCAAAGGAAAATGATGCTGCCGTTCAGAAAATAGCCGCAAAAGATAAGAGATTAACCCTTTCTACAAATAAAATGGCAGATTAGCATCTGCTAACTTTCTAAGAAACTGCTTCTTCATTTAAGCAGAAATTCAAGCATGCAATCCGTTCCTTGGATCTCAATGTGTGTGTGTGTGTGTGTGTGTGTGTGTGTGTGTGTGTGTGTGTGTGTGTGTTACCCATGGTAACAGGAGGGAACCAAGGAAGCCCTGAGTGAGCCCTGAATGTGTGCTGTTGAAATGGGTATGGCCACGTCAGGAACCTCAGAGCCTCAGGCTCATGAAGGAATGGCCAAGCCTTCTCCACCCTAAGTGAAGTTCAGAGGCAATGGCAAAGTCTGGTCCGTGTGTGGATATTGGTAGCGTGTGAAGAAAACGTCCACCATAGCTTTCTCCCCTCATCTTCTCGGCCTGAAGACTGCTCCCTACAGAGACTGTTCCTACTGAGATTAGCTACACTTGTCTCCTTGATCCAGCTTCACACCATAACCCCTGCCTCGATGTTTATCTCTGCAATGGCCCTGACTCTTTGTTCAACTCCATGTAATAAACCTGCTGGGCTTCTGGTGGGATGTTGCAGTTTCGCCATCAGAGATCTCAGTCTACCCAACCCAGCTTTTCTGTGTGCCCATGGGTCCATCTGTCTGTCTTTTCTACATTCCTTTGCCACCCTAGTCAGGTCCATCTGTGGAGCCATGTTGGATGTGACAGTAACTTTCAAAACAATTAAGCCCCAAATTAGAAACGCATTTGATTTTACACGTATGTGGTAGCTTGAATGAGCATGGCCCCCATAAGCTCTTGTGTTTGAATGCGTGGTCCCCAGTTAGTGGAACTATTAGGGGAGGATTAGGAGGTGTGGCTTTGTTGGAAGAGGTGTGTCACTGGGGTTGGGCTTTGAGGTTTCAACAGCTCATGCCAGGCCCAGACTCTCTCTTCCTCTGCCTAAAACCTGTAGATCAGATGTGGGCTCTCTGCTACTGCTCCAGCGCCATGCCTGATTGTCTGCCTGCTGCCATACTCCCTGCTGTGATGGTCATGGACTAACCCTCTGAAACTGTAAGCAGGCCCCCCGATTAAACTGCCTTCCTTATCAGTTGCCTTGGTTATGGTGTTTCTTCACAGCAACACTATAGTATAACTAATCCAATGT